AAAAATGTTTTTGTTATGAAACAGGAAAGATCAAATCAAAGTTAAAAAAATAAAAAGTAACTAAAAGCAAGCAACGTCAAAAAAGTATTGATAGCTATAATACCTTTGCAATGGAATCACAAATGTCCTCAATATACACTCATATCTTTGTATTAGTACCAAAACTCTTGACCTTTTTTGAATATATGAATGAATAAAGCTCATAAAAATAATGTATTATAAACAAAACAATCCGTAGTGGGGGAAAAGTGACTCTTTTTTTTTTTTTTGTGGTACTGGGAATTTAACCCACAGGTCCTTTATGACTAAACTGCATCCTCAGCTCCTCAGCTCTTTTTATTTTGTGGCAGAGTCTAAGTTGCCCAGGCTAGCCTGGAACTTTGTATCCTCCTGCCTCAACCTCCCAAATTGCAGGGATTACAAGGGTGTACCACTGCACTTCTCAACAAGTTATTCTTAAAATACAAAAACAACAACAACAAAAAAACTATAGTAGCCTGAGGCTATTTAGTTTAGGTGCAAAACCACTTATATCTACAAGTTGCTAAGTGAATCATAGCATGGTAAACAAGTGGTAGGTACTATGAAAATAATGTGTTGATTATGTTTGATCTATTTCCTTTAAAAAGAAATTTGTAATATATTTAAGAATATATTTTGGCATTCAAATGGATGTCCTTTGGTCATGCCTCCAATTTTCTAGCTACAATGGCTATTTATTCATTCCCTTATGATGGTTGATAGAAAGAATACCATAGAAATGGATATTTTAAAGCAATACTGTGCTCAAATTAGTAATTTTTTTCAATTGGATGCTCCTACTTCTTGAATGCTATACAGATTAGACCAAAGAGTATCAAGTTCAATTGGGGACAGATCCAGATTTTCTGGGGCCAGAAGATTATAAAATTCAGATCATCCTTTAAAAAAAAAAGACCCACATTACAAATACAAAAGGAATTAGAAAAGACAATTCTTATTTTAAATTAAAAATCACAAGTTGGGTTCTGTGTCGAATGCCTGTAATCCCAGCTGCTCAGGAGTTTGAGGCAAGAAGATCCTGAGTTCAAAGCCAGCCTCCACAATTTAGTGAGGCCCTAAGCAACTCAGCGAGACCCTGTCTCTAAATAAAATATAAAAATGGCTGGGGATGTGACTCAGTGGTTAAGTACCCCTGGGTTCAATCCCCAATACCAAATTAAAAAAATCACAACAAATGATACATTTGAAAAACTCACAATGATTCTGAAAATTAATGAACTGCCTGATATAACTGTGTGAGACTTTTTTTCCTATGTATTTTGGGTTTATATTCTGATTTCTTTTTTTTTTTTACCTGAAAATGGTTTTGTCACTTTATGTTCTATAGAATTAAAAGATATTTTTACCTTTCCATTAACAAAGTTGATAAAATTTGTTTTTATTATTGATAGTTAAGAAGAGTTTATTTTCAGTGCACAGCTCACTCTTGGCAAAGTTACATATATTTTTAAGATTTTTTTGTCAAATTTGGAAAATTCCTATGAAATTTCTTTCACATGTAAAGAATAAGAGGTGGGAAGATTTTCCACAGAAATTTTGGACCCAGAGATTTCAAATATCATTAATCTATTTACAACATACTTCAGTGAGAGGTCCTAAAGTCTACAATTGTTTGGTGATATGATTTCCAACCTTTTACTTTTGTGTCATAATACCAAGTAGCACAGGTGACTGTAAGCCTTCAAGCAATTGGAATAGGTGTCACTATAGAATGGGCTGCACGTGCCCAGGTACCATGTGATTTTATTGCAGTTTCCCTTTGGCCAGATCCCCCAAATGGTCTCTGGAACTATTCCAATTCTTCCAGACATGAAGGGAATTATGACAAATAGGAAGTTAGGCTGAAAAGAGACAGCAGTCTTTTCTTAGTTTGGGCTGCTATAATGAAATATAATAAACTGGGTGGCTTATAACAACAGAAATTTACTTATTATGAAGGCTAGAAGTCTGAGATCAGGTGTCAGCATGGCTGGGTTCTTGTGAGGATTCTCTTCTGTTTGCAGAACTACCATCTTTTCTTTATATCCTCATGTGGTAGTAAGAGTGTGAGAGAACTCTCCAGGGTTCCTTTTATAAGGCCACTCACAAGAGTTCCACATTCATGATGTAATCACGTCCCAAAGCCCCCCAACTCCTGATACTATCTTTTTGGGGTTAGGAATTTTGGGGAACACACACATTCAGTCCACTACAAACCTCTTGAGAGGATCTTATTTTTGAAGCTTTTACAAAAGCATAAGACCACATGTACTTGTTTCTAGTACCCTTCTTGTGATACTGGAAGGTGTGCTAAGTTTAAGTTGCTTGGAATCTGCCTTTGGGTTTAGCTTTGGATACTGTGCTTCAGAAGCACATCCATAGAAAGGTGCTAACTTAGGATGATGAAGGGTCAAGACATTATCATATGATAAGCAGTTAAAGCCCATGCAAAATCTTGGAAAAGTGACAATTCAAGTGGCTCACGTGTGTGTCTCTAGTGTTTCAAGTCTTGTTAGGTGGAAGAAGTATTTGGAAACAATAAAGAATCACTTTTTAATTTCCTAATGATAGGCCAGTTTCAATGCAGAATTGACCAGTTTATGACATACTGAGTTCCTTATGAGAGTGGGTCAAGAAAAGAATCTAACCTTTACACACTTTTGCAAGTCTAATTTTTTTTTTTTAAACTGGGGATTGAACCTAGGGATGTTTTACTATTGAGCCACATCCTCAGTCCTTTTTACTTTTTATTTTGAGACAGAGTCTTGCTAAATTGTTGGGATTGGCCTGGAGCTTTGCATTCCTCCTACCTCAGCCTCTGGAGTTGCTGGTATTACAGGCATGTGTCACCACACATGGTACAACTCTCAAATTTTAGGATGATTTTGCTATTAATTTTATTTGGTGCCTTAGTCACAATTGTTGATATGTTGATAGTCTTAAGGAAGTTGGGGCTGCTTTCTAAGTAGGGATTTTTTTTTAAAACTAGGGCAGTGATAGTCATCCACTTTACCTCTTTGATGTTTATAATTTTTAGTTTAAAGATACATCATAGGGCTGGGGTTGTGGCTCAGAGGTAGAACGCTCACCTACCACGCATGAGGCTCTAGGTTCGATCCTCAGAACCACTTAAAAATAAATAAAGGTATTGTTTCCATTTACTAAAAAAAATAAAAAAGGATACATTGTAATATAATGATTAATCAATATAGGAGGCTAAGGATTGCAGGGGAGGGATTTCCAGGTCTAAATTATAGAAAGACTATCACATGGGATTCCTATTTTTGGGGTAGAAACTGGAATTGGACCTTGGGTCAGGAGGAATTCATCAATGATTCTTGGGATCATAGATTCAGGTGACTAAGGAGTCAGGGTTGTTTTGTGACATGTGACAGAACACAAATGAAACTGGCTTGAGGAAATAAAAAGAGATAATTTATTGGTTGCAGGAGTAGAGCTCATTGCAGACACATTTGCCTCCTAAAGGTCAGACATCTTCATCCTCTCTTCCTCAACTTTTCTTCCTTTAAAGTCAGCTTCACTGGCATGCACTAGTAGTCACTTTTCCACTAGTTTATATCTTTCTAGTCTAGTTATCCCAGAGTTTGGTTTTCTGAAGTGATCCCACAACAGCCCCAGACTAAGATTCTGAACCAAAATGCCTATCCCAGAACCAATAACTGTGGTCTGGAATATGATGATGACTGGCTAGTCCTGGGGAGGGAGAGTGGGAGGTGTCAGTCTCTTGGAACCACAAAGAATCATTGTGGGGGAGGGGGAAGGGCAGCTCCCATAAGAAATATAAACCAGTGTTACCAGAAAATGAAGTGGGCAGGGATGGATAACACTGAGCACTCATACTTAAAAATCCCCAAAGAATGAGTATCCATTATTTGGGAGAAGATGTGTTTTTGAACTATCTTCATATAGGCATAGTTAAACTGCAAAATCGAGTAAATCTTTCCCATATCTGGAGGGATACCATTCAAGGAGTGGGGCAGGGGGAGGGCAGTGGCCTTACATTTCAACATTTTTCTTTTTTCCCCCCAAGTGGGAATGAGTCAATGAAGAGGTTACAGAAGTACATACAAAGCCGAAAGCATTCATCTGACAATTTTAAATTTTAGTGCCCTCTTAAGCAAAGGATCTCGGAACACTTTGAATAATACATTTTTTCATTTTGACCACACCCTGTGCAGGTGACATAACTATTACCGTTTTGTTCTCGCAGTTGGGGAAACCGAGGCACGACACCCCCTTACTCAGCTTTCTGGTAGGTTTTAGGAATAGTCCTCCCCACATGACCTCAGAGGGTCTCCTTCACCCTCGGAAGCGTCCCTAGAAATCCTCCTGTCCTTTGGCTTCTTCCCAGGAGGAAAGCAGCTCAGGCTCCGCCGCAGCCCTGGGACTCGTCCTCCGCCCAGCTGCACCCGCCCTGCTCTAGCGCACCTTCCTCAGTGAAGTCCGGCTGACCGAAGTCTGGCTGTCTTTCCTGTCCTTTCCCCCCATTTCCCTTCCACGGGTCCCCGACGTTCAGGCAGCCCTCAGCCAAGCGCCCTCAAGGCGGTGCGGGCAGATGCTGCCACGGCGTCTAGCAGGATGGGCGCCGGCACCGCTGGAGGTGAGCGGGCCCGGGCGCTGGGTTGGGGTTGGGGCGGGAGGAAGGTGGCGACCGGAGGGAGGCCGGCTGGGAGCAGCGAGAGGGAGGCGACGCAGGCGGGTCGGCTCGCTGCTCGCGGGCGACGCCTGGAGAGCGAGCGGCCCGGAGCCTGGAGCTGCGGGGCCGCTCGGGGACGCGCAGCGCTCGGTCGTGAAGCTCCCGGCGGCGCCAGGAGCCCCGGCGCCCTCCCGAGCGCGGGAGGGAGACATGGCTTCGCGCGTCCCCGCCGCCACCGCTGCTGACTCGACACAATCGGCGGGTCGCGCGGGGGGCGCGGCGTAACCCGGGGGTGGGTGGCGGCGCGGAGCCTCCTGGAGAGCTCTGAGTGTCGTTGGCGAGCAAGGAAGATGCCAGCACAAAGGCTAGCGGAGACCCGGCCCGCTGCGGAGGGCGGCGGGAAGAGCCGCTGAGGGGCGCGCCAGGCGCGCTTTGCTCCGCGCTGTCTCTGATCACTGCCCTGGGTCTCAGGGTCGGGACGGCAGTGCAGGGTCCCTTGGCTCTGTCATAGCGGACGCCGCAGCCCGGAGCTGCATGCGACGCGCGGCGGCATCTCCCGCCGCCTGCTTTCTCCGCGGCGCGCACGGACCAGCCGGAGAGCGCCGGAGCGGCGGGTCGGGGCCACTGCGGGGGCGCCCTCCCGCCTGGCCGCCGGGTCCCACCCGCAGCCCGTGGCGGCGGGCGCCGAGCCCAGGTGAGTGCCCTGCCGGTGCCCAGCCTTCGCGCCGCAGGTATGGACAGCGGGAGGTGGCTTTGTTTTCCTCGCTCGCGCCCCGGCGCGGTCATTCATTTGACATTCTGCTTCCGCTGCCTTGAAACCCGGGTGAGAGGCACCGGGACGTGTCTGATGGTTTGCTTATCCCGAGAAGCTGGGACTTTTGGGTTTATTTGAGCATCACTCAAGGGACAGGAGGCTTCATTTCCTTTTTGGTCTGGAATGTGTTGTGAACATCCTCTGCTGGAGCTTGGGGCCTGGAGAAAACCGGGGCTGCAGATTTAGACGTAGACGTTTCGGAGGACGTGCAACTGCAGAGGTCTGACTCTTTCATGCCTTGTCTTCTTCATTAGCAGTGCTTAGCTGCTTTTCGTTCATTGTGATTAATTTTAGGAACATCTGTATAGACGCATTTATTTTTGTTCGACTTGGAAGTCTTTAGAGTCATCACAGCTCACAAATAGAGTTGTAGCATTCGGTCAATATTAAACTTGGAGAAGGAAAACATCGTGATCATTATACAGACTGAGCTGGACGGCAGGCAAACTTCACCGGGGCCTTTAACCTTCCTGAATAAGATTTCTGCTTTCGATGTCCTAGAGTTATGCACACTCTTGAGTTCTCATAGAACATATACCTTTGTCAAAGTGTAAAACTTGTCTTTTTTTTAATAGTTTCTATAGTTTGTCATTTAGAAGAAAAAAAATACTTTAGAATAATCAACAGGGTCTTCTATTCGACTTGGTGAAATTTGGTGTATTATTTTAAATATGATTTTCTTTTTACTAATTCTCCTATTCCCTCAAGGGCTCATTTCTTCTGTTGCCTAGAGAGAGCCTCTCTCTCTCTTCTCCAAACAGATGGCTGTACGTTCCAAGAGGCTATCTTTAAAATGACACATTACTTACAAACAAAGAAAGCTCTTAAGTTTGTCTTTGGAGTTATTAAAACAAGAGACCTGATCTGGATGGTGATATTATTAATGGTGTGAAAATCTGGAGCTTGCTAATCTGTTTGGTCATCAGAAGATTCCTGCAGAGATTGTTTATATAGTGTGGGAGACAGATGGCATCCCTAGCAGACAAGAGAAGCCAGGCATAAAGGGTCATTGTATTCTTCAGAAATTATCTACTTCACTGTTGGGAGGTGGGGTAGAATGGGATGGAAGATGAGAAAGAGATAATTTTGATCTCTCAAAGGAAACATTAATAACTTCACTATCCAGCAGCCTGAATAGTTATTCATTTTTTTCTTTCTTTGAAGGTTTACAAAGTCATCATTGAGCTATTTGTTTTGATTATTACATTAGCACATTTTCGTCTTAATTGTGGTTATGTGAAACAGTATAAATAGACTAGCAAAAATGCTTTTGAACTTAAAAGTATCCTAACACTCTTGGGGATAACCAGTCATAGCTCTTGTACATAATGGCCCTTAGACTCATAGCATTTACTAGCGGGAAGAACTTTAATCTGCATTAGTTTGAACGCAGTTTCCTTTACCTACTCTATGACAGGTGGATCCCTAACCCCTACCTTTTGCCCCTAGACTGTCAGTTATAGGCAGAACCCTGATTCTATGATGATTGACCAGCCTCAGACATTTGGCTTACCATTGCCTCCATCACAGTTTGGGGGACCTTTTGGCAATGAATCTTTATGAAGGACTGTGATGTCAGTGAGGAAATCAAAGTCATTCTGAACATTTGAGAGTCACCTGGAGGTTTCTGCTCCTACCACCACCGTAGATTATTTATGCGCTGTAGATTGCAACTAGATCATAAAATTGGTTTTCCCTCTTTGTGAATGCAAGGGAAAAGATTTCAGTAAATTTATATTCACCAGCCATAGGACTAAATTTAATGAACATGAGTAGTGTTTCACCGCTCTGAACAGGAGGCATGGAATAGAAGCAAGCGTTGGTATTTTTCAATGTGATTTTGGGAGAAAAACATACTTTCTTACTCTTTTGAAAGACTTTGTATCATTGATCTCAGCAAAGAAACCAATTAACCTGTAGTTAAAGACAGATGCTATGGCCTTTTCTTCTGGATGAATGTGTTTTGTAGGAGAGGTGGCTTTTATTATGTGTCCTGACATCAACAAATGATATAATATTTAAAATATTTGTTAAATCCATGGCTGGTGTCTTGGCCATCTCTGTTGCCAAATGTTTCTTCAAGAGAAACCAGAGGTTTCTGGCCTGGGGCTTGGTGGGCCTGGCATGGGTCCACATTTTAGTGTACTACTGCCCGTTTTCTTGGGGTTAAAAATAAATAAATAAAATGGAATCAGTTTTGCATGGTGAATTGGATATGGAATAGCAGTATAGAATAAAAACCATTTTGTTGGCAAATTCCAGGCCTGTCCTGAGAGACAAGACTATATTTGAATTTGGTTGATCCAACAGGGGCAGGGGTTGCTTGTTTATACATAGGAGGTCTTTTGTTATCAGGCTATGAATTAGAGATTAGAAGGGTGACCAGACCTTGTTGTTTACCAGTGCCAGTTTATTCCTGCTGACCCCTCTTAGTGATCAAAAGTGCACCCCTTTCAATCATTTATGGTAAATTATATGATCACCCTAAGAATTAAGGAATCCTGACCATCTTCTTCATCACCCCTCTCCTGATCCCAGGTTTTGAGTCTTGCCTCATTTCAGTCTTTTATTTGTGAAATGCAAAGAGAGACAATCGGAAAAATTTAAACTGGAAGAAATGCATAAGGAAAAAAGAAGTTGTAGGGAAGGCAGAAAAATGGGATAATTGCTTATCATCAATTTATACATATAGGAAATAAAATAGTTTTATTCTTAAGTCATTGTCTATTGTGGCAATAAGCCCATGTTATTATTGTCTCCAAGCACAATTAGAAGTAGCTCTTGTCCTTTTATTTGGGGCTGACACAAATGAGGACAACTCCTGTGATTCAGGAGAGCAGTTTCTACAAAACCTGTTTGCAGACCAGATGGTTATGTGGCACCTGCAAATATGAATGCAGGTTTCACGATCCAGTGTTTGGTACAGTTCTTAGATAGTTACTGAGTGTCCAGAACACAATTGTTGTTGTGAAGACTTGATTCCATGTTCTCTTAGTTTGCAAGCTTTCTGGGCCATGAGGATAATAGAGGGCTTTTGTTTTCTGTACTGTCTTCCTCCAGTTGGATTTGGGTTTCAACTTTTCCACCAGTCATGTTGCAGAGAAGGAGAATTGGTGTGTCTGTTCACACATGAAGATTTTCTAAGGGGTTTTCTGCAGGTGAGGGTTTGGGTTCTATACCAAAGCTAGATATCTGAAGCTTGTGACACTTGCCTCTGCAATGGTAGCTGTGCTCCTTTGCTAAACAATTGCCTGTTTGTAATAGTTCACTTGCATTACTGGTCTGCAGGTGTTACAATTAATTATGGCTGTCACTTTTGCAGCATTCAGTCCACTAAAGTCCTCAAAAGCTTGGTCAGCATGACTGAAAGAGAAGAAATTATGTATCTCCTTTATAAGTAGGATGACTATATAATTTTTTTGTCCAGTCAAGGACATTTTTGAAAGTGAAATGATTATAACTGGAAGGTTACCATATCAACTATCCCAGGAAAACTACCCTGTTTTGTCGTCCCATGACCCAAATCATTAGTTTTTCTGAAGACTATTCACATGATGGAAAAATGTGCTTAGTTTCTTCTGGATTTGTTCACCTTACATGCACACACACACATACACACACATGCACACACGAGTACACAGGCAAACATTGATCATGTATCTACGTTATGTGTATTGTGTCATTGATATAACCATGTAAGGTGTAGTTATTAGAAAATTGTGGCCTTCATCATCTGTTCATGGATTTACTTTTTAACCTAATTCTCTGCATCTAGCTTCTCCAAACTTTTAATCATCCCCTGTCCTTGTCTAGTTTTAACATGGTTCTTTTTTAATTCTCTTGCTTAAAAACCTTTGAAGGCTATGATTTTCTCTTTATTTCTCGAAGATTGATACGCAGGATAATGGTAAGAAAGGAATAGCCATGAAAACATTTCATTTGTTCAACTCATATTTGTTGGATTTCCATGAATTAGTGTCTTATCTGGGTGTAGGGGTATACCAACTAATGAAACGAACATCCCTGACCTTGTGGAGGTTTCATTCTATTTGAGGCAAGGGATAGATAATGAGCCAAATAAATAAGTACATTTTATAGCATGGTAGAAGGAGATAAATGCTTTGGAAGAAAGAGAAAGCAGAACAGGATACCTATGGATAAGTAGGATTTATAGAGAAAAAAGCAAAGACTTGAAAAGAAGTAAGAGAAATTACTTATGCGGATGCCTGAGGGAGAGAGTTGCAGGTAGAGAGGACAGCTAGTGTGACTGCCCGGAGGTGGGAATGTGTTTGGATGTGTTCAAAGATTCACAAGAAGACCAGCATGATGAGCTGAAGTGACCCAGTGGGAGTCAGAAATGAGCTCAGGAAGGTGATGAGGGATAGAGCTTGGAAGGCCTTGAGATATGACAGTGATTATGATTCTAGTCAATATCCCGTTATGTTCTTATAAGGTTATCATAACATTAAAGATTGTATTTGTGCTATAAAAAGTATACTGGTTAGTGTATATAGCTTACATTTAATTAATGGTCCATTTCATGTTGGTTACTAACATATGTTCTGTATCTTTAGCTTATTACTTATTAAAATATTTTTGGTGTTACTGTTCTTCAGTTGTATCCCCATTTCACAAAAATAGATCAGTAGTTTAAAGATGGTTCATTGATATGTAAAAATAGTAATAAAGACACAGGTTGAGCATCACTAATCCAAAAGTCTGATATCTGAAATGCTCTAAAATCTGGAAGTTTTTGAGCATTGATATATCACAGGTTGAATATCACACACCATGAAACTTTGTTTCCTGCAAAAAATTATTAAAAATTGTATATAAATAGTTGTTAGGCCACATAGATAAGGTGCAAACAAATCAAATGA